GGGAATTAAAAATCAGGGCCCGTTTCTAACTGAAAATGAAAGAAGGGTTTGGGGGTAAAAAAAGTTGGTTTGAAATATTTGAGGGAATAAACAAAGTTTAAAAAATTATTTAAATTTTTGAAATGGATAGTTAATAAAAATTCTAACTTAATTTTTGAAATTTTTCTGAAAATAAAAATTTCAACAATTTTAAAACACAAAAAGTTACAATTAAAAAAAGGGTTTATATTTAATGTACGGGGAAATTTTTTTCAAAAAAGGGTACATATAATCAATAAAAATTTAATATAAAAAATTTGTACCCCCCCCCATCTCAGGGAAAAATACAGAAATGCCCATCCCATCACTTTTATCCCTACTTCAAACAAAAAGAAAGCAATTTTTTATTTCAGCTCGCCAAAATACTAATTTCATTTTTTCCAAAAAAAACAACAAAGACTTAAAGAAAAGACATTGGGATTTAGTGAATATTAAAGAATATAAACATTAAACAAGAAAAAAGCAAATCTGGATTCAACCAAGGTAATTATGGACCTTTTTTTCTAATGAGGAATTATAATAGAAATTCGTTAACTTAATATCTTCATAAAATACTTATTATACATGTCAGAAATACATCAGAAAGATCACAAATGAATTTTACTTTTGATTGGGTTGCATCCAAGCGGTAAGGATGATACATAACATGAGCTTCCAACTCCACTAGTCACTATAATGTTGCGGAGTAAATTCACAAGAACCGAATGTTCTTTGAATTCTACAATGTTCGTGCTCAATTAACAAATGCATGAATAAAAACATTATGTCAGAAATTATATTTGTTACTTTCAATCGCATTGATAATTTCATATTTAGACAAAATAACAATTGTAGTTTTTAATTCAGTTTTAAAAATCTTATATGCAATGAACTTAAATCGTAACTATATTGAATGTTTTCGCTGAAAGAAACCTTTTTGAATCAACAATCCGAGTTACTTCTATGTACTTGGAGTTTTACATTCAAAAAAGAAAAATCCAGCAAATTTTCTTTCGTTTCAAGTGAAAAAATCACATTAAGATAAAAATTAAACCGAAAATTGAAAGGCAGCATCTTTACCAAGTTAATGTGTAGTTTTACAATCTGCTATTCAAGCTGCAAAGGAAAATAATGTTGGGCCCAATAGCATAAAATAAAGATATTATTGATCCATTTTTAAATAAGGGCTAAAAACTAATTTACTGTTTTTCAATATATAGTGTGTATATTTCAACGCAAGACAGTATTGAAAATTGATGGACATGCTCAAACGAAATTTTATGATAGTAATTTGAAAAAATATTTAAACATATTAACTGATATAATATTTGGATGGAAACATAAAACAAAGGAGGGTCTCAAATTTATAATGTTTCTTATTTAAATATAAAACGATAGATGATATTAAATTATGCATCCCAAATTACATTTGGCGAAGAATGTTTCAGCCTACAATCAGAAATTATCTTCAATCTATTTCAACGTGCCCATTGTCATATTCGGGTTCAAAATTTACAAACACCTTTTAATCAATATTTGTATTTAACTGTATTAATTCAACGAAGAAAGCAGTAAAACATTTTTAAAATGTCTTGATATAAGTGGATAAAAATGAAACACTGCTGAAAAGCAAAGTTTGGTAAATGGGTTTCATAAAGGCCCAAAATTTCAAATTTTTCAAAAGTACGTTGTTAACAGCATAATTAATGTATTTGTATTATTGATTTTTTAAATATTAAGCAAAATAAAAACTCAGTACCATTTTCATTATGAAATGTATAGCGGACAATCATTTGTTTATTCTAAAGAATATGATACGTAAAAAAATTATTTGAAATCATAAAGCAGTAGCTATAATACTTTTGTGAATAAATTCCCGGGTGATGCACTGGCCATTTCCTTAAATATTTCTATTCATTAACCGTTAAGAGTGTGTTTATTTCATGTTAGTTTACGATTTATCATTGTCTTTACCTACATCACTTAAACGAGTAAAGCTTTAAAGTACTATGTCTCATTAGCTTCCGTGAAACTTTTTTGAGTTCTGTATTTGACCTGATTTTAAAATCAGGGTGATTCAAAATATTTAACATCTGGGAAAACAAGTACATGTATGAATAAAACTTTTTGTAGGTCGGTTATTGAAAAACCTTGCGTCACATTCTTTAGAAAATGTAAAAACCTTTTAATCAAAATTTACTTTTTTGTACCAATCATGAGATTTTAACTACATAAAGTCCACTGTGCATTAATATATTTTAATACGTTGTTAATGTGTTCTATGAAATTGGACAATGGTATTTTCTATTTATCATGTAACACATAAAAACTGTCAAAATAACAAAATGATCTACTTTTAAACAGCGAATTTCGTAAAAAAGGGGATTTTTGTTCAAAGAAATAATGACAACAACTTCCTCCGCCCCTGAAACTTAGAATTCATAGATGGCGGCCATTTTTTCTTTCGACTCGGATAAAAGATACAACAGAATGTAGGCCTAACACGATAAAATTCTTACCTTTAATTTAAACATCGATCCAAAAAATCCCTTAGAATCACATAAACTTTAGTCTTCACTGCACTTTTTGTCTTGAATTGTCAAATTCAAAAGTTCACGATAATTTCAATCGAACAAAACACTTGTTCCAGAAATTTATGCTGTTTTTCGAAATTTTGATGTCCCAGCAACTGTATAGAATAAACAAATGAAAGTTAAACAAGTTTTGCATGTAGAAAGGTTGTGCCCGTAATTCAGATCAAGACAACATGTTAAAATAAGAAACAGCAGTTACTGAATCACTTTAATTATACCTTAAAACGATGAAAACTTGGCTATTTTGCCTGTCGCCAATGATAGTTGCTGATTTCTGTCTGGTAATTGCACAATAACTTATCATTTTTAACATATTAAATTTTTCTATCCTTCTCAAATATGCATTTATTTTATTTATTTTTGGAAAAAAAATAAATCATGTGAAAATCAAAAAATTTCGGTTAGATACATGTATGTCTCCAAAACAGTATTAACTTCCGTGATTGTTATTGTAATTGGCGTTACAATGACATAAACCTTAAATTTTGTGCGGTCTTGAACTTTAGTAAATAAGATTTTCTTATTTGAATATTTTCAATTATGTTTCACGTAGTTTTTAAAACAAAGTTAAATGTCAATAATGACATTTCTCTTAAAGTCAGAAAAAACAAAAATCGCGTTTAATTTTGTGTTACTAGCATTTACAAAATATTGATTGATAAATGTAAATTATATCGTTTTACAATACTTTGCTGGTCCTTGACAAGTAATATTCCCTTAAGGTTGCTTTCTTTTAACGCTCGGTTTTTAAAAAGTTTGCAAGAAAGAATGATTTTTTTAACTTCCGTTATAATTAACTTCCGTGATTTTCTTAGTACATTTAGACCTAAATATGCCAAAATAATAAAAAGCGATTATAACGACACACCGGTTGAGTTTAACTTTCGAGCCGCCATTTTTTGAAAAGTGTAGACGTGGAACAAATCTATTTTAGTATAGGTTACAACGATCTGATTTAAGTAAGTATTGATTTTTATCCAGTAAACTTTTACCGTAAATTCAGTTTATCTCATTAGATTATGTTATTACTATGCAAAATGTTTATATATCAATGAAGTAGCGCAACATCTTGATTGTGTTTACATTTCCATATACATGTGTTATGGTACCGGTGTCATAGCTAAATGTACAAGTTTGGTAACGGAAGTTAAATTTTTAATTTCATATATTGTAATAGCTGCAAAATATAGAAATACATATTAAACACAATATTTTTGTATTAGTGCATGAAGGTAAAAATGATTATAATTTTAGAAGCTTTTTTGGTACGTCAGAGCATGTGGATCTTCAAATATACAAGTCAGGGTAACGGAAGTTAAGGTTTATTTTGTTAAAGCGTACTGTTGGCAAGCAAGTATAATATATACGATATAATTTGAAGTACAGTATTGCATCACTTTAATGTGTAATAGAAAAATTAAGAAACAGTGATATAAACACATGTATAATGTATACTCTGTCCTACATATATAAAATGTTTGGTAACGGAAGTTAATTTTTTTTTTCATCCTTAGAATGCCACAGTCAAGAGCTGAAATCCAGAAACGATACAGAGAAAAAATGAAAAGAGAGTCTAGGACATTTATGCAAAAGGAAAGGGAGCGTAAAAGAACAACATATGTTCCTGTATCATTATTGACAAACACTGAAATAAAAAAAAGAAGAAATGATGTTCTTGAAAGGGTAAAGCTACATAACATGAGGAAAAAACAAATATTAAATGATATTTTAAATACACCACAGGTAGGACCAAGTACCAGACTGAACGATGATAATTCATTAAAGGTTGCATTGGAATTTAAAAGAGGTCATAAAAAGGGAAATAAAAATGCTGCAAAACTAAAGCAAGCCTGTATGACAATAGAAACTCTTAGAGCTGACAAAATTAGAATGTTTAGAGAAAAGAAAAGGTTACAGAAGCGAATAGAGCGGCTTAAGAAAAAAGAAGAAAAGAAAGATGAATGTGAAAAAGTGCACGAATGAATCACTTACTCCAAAGTCTCGTACCAAAGAAGAAATGAAAGACCTGAACATAACTCCAAGAAAAAGATTGCAAATCCGTAAGAAGTTGTTGTTTGCAAATGTTCTACAAGATGAAATAAAAAGTAGCCTGTCTGCTGCAAACAAGAAGAAAATCAGAGTTCTTTCTATGAAGATAGTGAAAAAATACAGAGGAATGAAATCAGTCGGCAAAATCTTAAACATAGATGAAAGAACATTGAAAAGGTGCACTGGATCATTGGTAAGAAGAAGTTCAGTCCAAGAAAAGCGAATGTTAATGAAAGTCCGAGTTGAGACTTTTTTGGAACGGGAAGATAACTCAACAACAATGCCTGGTAAAAATGACACAATCGGTAGAGAGAAAGTACAGAAAAGGGTCCTCAATGATTATCTTCACAATCTCTACGCTAAATTTATGCTTGAAAATCCCGGTACTAAAATCTCAAAGAGTAAATTTTGCCAGATGAGACCAAAGCATGTTTTGCTAGCTAACTTCTGTAACCGTACCACTTGTTTGTGTTCTCGACACCAAAACATGGCTTTAAAACTTAGAGCACTTAAACCACTTTTACCAGGGATAAGCAAGAATCCTGACACATTTATAGCTACAGATCAAGAAAAACTAAAAGAAAACCTACAAAACCTAAATGTTGAAACAATAACTTACACGGAATGGAAGAAAGTAGAAGATAAGGGAAAACAGAGATGGAAACAAATACAAACACAAGTTAAAAAGGATGCTTTTATTTGTGAATTCATGAAAAACGCAAATGATTTCTATTATCATGTACAGAGGGTTAAGACTCAGTATGCTGAAATGAGAAAGCTTAGGAATAGCCTTCCAGAGGGACATGTTTTGGCGTGGATGGATTTTGCGGAAAATTTTACATGTAGTGCCTTGGAAGAAGTACAATCTGCATACTGGACCTCAGACCAGGTAACGCTGCACACGTCGGTTATCTATTTTCCAAGCAAGCATAATAAATCTCACAAAAGTATAGTTGGTGTTTCCGAAGTCCTTTCACACAACTCGTCAATGGTATATGCAATGATTCAGCAACTGGTTCCGATGATTAAAGAACATTATTCTGGCCTGACACATATCCATTATCTTACTGATTCCCCTACATCACAATACCGAAACAAGGCAATTTTTCAGCTTGTGTGCGACCATGCTGACGAATTTGGCGTGTCAGCTACTTGGGATTATCTAGAAGCAGGACATGGCAAAGGCCCGTGCGATGGCCTAGGCGGAAGCGTAAAAAGAGCCGCTGACATGTCTGTGCGTCAAGGCAAGGCCGTCATTCAAGGCGCAGATGACTTTTTCGCTTGGGCAAAATCCACTGAGATCACTAGTGAGGTTATTTATTATTATGTCACACAAGACAATTATGAAACAGCACATCAGCAAATTCAGAATAAAACAACTGGTTTGAAAGTAGTACCTGGTACCATGAGAGTTCATGCCGTAGCTCCGATAAATCGCACACGAATTGCTGTTCGTGATACTTCGTGTAATTGTCAAAACTGCATCAATAGTACCGTAAACAATAAATGTGAGGGCTGGAGATATTTTGATTTGAAAGCACCAAATAAAGAACAGGAACTAGAAGATGAATCTAGTATCGTTAGAGAGCAACATATTGTTGTTCCTAAAGTTGGAACATTTGTATCTGCGATTTATGATACTAAATGGTATGTTGGATTAGTTACTGCCATTGAAGATGATGAGGTAGAGATAAACTTTATGCAACAGGCTGGTAAAGTTACAAATCGGTTTAAATGGCCAAGCATAAAAGATGAGATCTGGCTACCTGT